TTAAAGTGATTAGGGAGGTATAGTCACTCTTATATCTCAATGTATCCTACCCGTTCCACATCCTATATTACAACCAATTAAAGTCGTACTTGATCCATGACTGAATGAGCTCAATTAGTAGAGTAGTACACTACGGGCCAACCTATGGTACGTCTTTAGCGGCATATGAATGTTGTTTCTGAGAGCAAATGAATTCTTTCTATCTTGAGTTCCTGATTGTTCTCAAATTTTATTGTTTGTGGAACTACTCTCTATTGTTGTGTGAGGGCACTTGATTCACGTAGGTAAGGCAATTTCATTGACCTCTGTGTCAAAGTAAGTGAGCGGGTTGTGCAAAATGTGTGTTGCTTTTGAGTCAAAATCTTGAGGCAAGGATGTTACGTTAGACTGCTTAATCTGTTTTAATTATTCTTGGTCTGATGAGGTAGTAGAGTTGTTAAAAAACAAGGTCGTGTATTTATAAAGTGTAGTTTGATAGCTCGATGACAAGCAATAGTTTAAGTGTGGGGTGTTGATGGTAGGCTATAATCTTGTGTTTTAGTCGCTTCTTCCACTCTAACTCACCGCACTTTACTTGTGTTGAGCTTTAATTGGTAGTATTTTGCAGTTATTGCGTATTTTATGCCTTGTAGGAATGATTCTGAGTTATGTAGATGTTGTGGAGCTAAATCAAATGATTGGAGCTTTGAAGTCTGAGTAAAAGCCCAAAAGATTAAGCCGGGATCGTGTTCGGGAGTCAAGGATCACTTCTGGACGTCAAAAATCAAGGAAGAAGCAACACTCTAAGGAAATGCACTAATGCGACGCACCATGCGATAGTGCGATGCATCAGTGCAAATGTGCGTAAGAAATTTCAGAAGATCAGAGATTTGTAACTTTTGGGTTTGACAGAAAAATACACTAATGCTAGGCATAGTGCGTTGCATAATACGTAACATCAGTACATAATTTTGTCAGACAAGCTAAGTTCAGAGAGTTTATAATCGAGAAAATTGCACTAATGCTACGCACCCTGCGTAGCATAGTGCGATGCATGAAAAGTAATAAGTTTGCAAGTTTTCTTATTTCGACTAGGAAAGGGAGGTTCCATCTGGGCCCGACCCTACTTGGTATAAATACATGGGAAAATGTTATTTTTTGGACTTTTGACATACTTTTGACCTAAGGAAGCTAAGGAGGTGTTGGAAGGACACAAGCACAAGGATTTCATCATTCCTTCCTGACTCAAGATCCAAGTTTGGATCGAATCTATGATTTCCTATACTTTAATTATATTTGTGATGAATTTCTCCATGATTATGGAGTAGTTTCCTTTAGGGTTTGATAGATTTGGTGTATTGATGATTGTTTGTGGATAATAACTCTATTTTTATGTATTGAAGCGTTTTTGGATGATTTAATTGTTGCATCTATATTAACTTGTTCATGTAATCGAGAGAGAGGCATAACTTGTGTGCATTGTATTGTTGGTTGAGTTCATTAATTCTTCTTAGTAATCGGAAGAGGCTAGTTGAATCATTGATTAAACCTAGTTAGGAGGATAATCGAGAGAGGTTCTCTTAAAGACCAATCCACTACGCATTTTTGTATATCTTCACAGAGCTTAAATTTGTTCATCTCGTGAGGTTGAGACTTAATCGAGAGAGGAGTTTCTATTGAATGTGTGAACTGATAATTGAGTGAATTCGAGAGACTCACTTAAACATTAGAAGTGAATTATCTAGAGTTAGATGTCAAACAATAATCTTGCACCTATCGAATCAAAACCCTATTTTCTCCCACTGATATCTTTCTTTGCTTATTCATTGTTTTGATTGTCATTTGTCAATACCTTTAGACTCTTAGTTAATTTTAGTTAGAAATCATATAAATCACAATTTTTAATCCTCTTGGATAGCAATCAAGCTAGAAACTACGAGAATACTTTTTAAATCCAATCCATGTGGTTACGATATTATACTATACTATATTTGATTAGCGAGCAAAATTTAAGTGTGTGTGCAGGGCAGGCCAGTAGGTTCACCTCTTCATACATGAGCCGAGTTCTTGCAGTTGTTCTTAGAGAAGTTTATTCCCTTCACTCAGAGAGAGGAGTTCTGTAGTTAGTTCAAGCGCCTTCAGCAGGATAGCATGACCGTTACTTAGTATGCGACTAGATTTGTAGATTTATCATGCCATGTAGCTATCCTGATCCCTTGAGAGGAAGAAAGTTCAGAGGTTTATAGATGGTCTTACATATGGAATCAGACTTTACTAGAGAGACCGAGGATGAGATTTCTTTTAATTGCGTGGTGGAGATTGTCAGGAGGATCGAGCGCATCAGAGGTAGGCTAGGAAGACGACTTCTAACAGGAGGCCCCATAACTTTGGAGGATTTAGCGGTGACTTGTATGGAGAAAGGTTTCTTTGGTAGAGTCCATCCTATCCAGCTGGTTCAGTCAACTCTACAGGTTACCCATGATGCTTAAGGCAGCCACAACGCTTAGACCTCGTCCCGAGCCACTATCATACAATGTACCTCTAGCTCCGGTTAGTGCACCTCCGATACAGACTTACCATGATGGATATTCGGGTCGACATGTTCAATTTTAGGGTTAGGGTTACGTCAGTCGAGGTCTTGTTATAAATGTGGGGATCTTAGGCACGTCGTGAAATTTTTTCCATGTCACAGAGCAGTATGCCACAACGGGGTACTCGTGCCATGATTCTAATAATAATGGTTCTGCGAACCACACAACCAATTAGAGGTAGGGGTCAGGCAGCCTGAGGCGACGGCCAGTCAATTAGAGGTGGAGGATAGTCAGTGAGAGGTTGTCCCAAATATAGAGGACAGGTTGGTGGGGCTCAACATCGTTGATATGCATTTCTAATTAGACCTGAGGAAGAGTCGTGCGATGCAGTTATTACAAGTATTATCTCAGTCTGTCATAGAGATGCTTCATGTTGTTTGATCCAGGTATTACATATTCTTATGTGCCTTCATATGTTTCTTCACATTTGAGTATGTCTCGTGATTCTCGATGTACCTATTTCTGTGTCTATATTGGTTAAAGATTTTATAGTAGTTGATCGAGCATACAGGTCTTGTGTTGTTACTATTAATGGTTTAGATATTGTAGTTGATCTTTTGTTGCTGAATATGGTAGATTTTGAGGTTATTCATTGCATGGATTGGTTTTCCCCGTATCACGCTATCTTGTATTGTCATGACATTACTATAACTTTAGCCATGCCGAGGTTACCTAGATTAGAGTGGAGAGGGACCCGTAGTCACTTCAGTAGCAGGTTGGTTTCATATTTAAAGGCTCAGCGTATGGTTGAGAAGGGGTGTCTAGCAAATCTGGTTGAGGAGGTTTCTTCTATGGATTCGATACTGGTTGTGATGAGTTTCCTGTGGTGTTTCCTATAGATTTATCGGGTATGCCACCCGACATGGATATCGACATTTGCATTGATTTGGTTCCGAGCACTAAGCCAATTTATATTCCACCGCATCGTATAGCTCCAGCTGAGTTGAAACAATTGAAGGATTAGTTGCAATATATAGTTGACAAGGGATTGACTAGACCTAGTGTTTCACCTTAGGGTGCACCAGTATTGTTTATTAAGAAAAATGACGGATCGATGAGGATGTGCATAGATTATCTGTAGTTGAACAAAGTCACTATCAAGATCAAGTATCTATTGGCTAAGATTGATGGTTTATTTGACCAGCTTTAGGGTGCCAAGGTGTTTTTCAAGATTGATTTGAGATTAGGCTACCATCAGGTAAAGATTAGGGAATCAGATGTCCCTAAGATAGCTTTTAGGACTCGTTATGGTAATTATGAGTTCTTGGTAATGTTATTTGGCCTAACAAATTCTCCAACGACCTTCATGGATTTGATGAACCGAGTGTTCAAGCCTTATTTGGACTCCTTTGTGATTGTTTTCATTGATGATATTCTGGTTTACTCTCGCAACATAGAGGAGCATAAGCAGCACCTATGGATTGTACTTCATACTTTCAAGGATCATCGGCTATATGCCAAGTTTTCTAAGTGTGAGTTCTGGTTAGACTAGGTTGCCTTTTTAGTTCATGTTATGTCTTTCGAGGGTATCAAGGTGGATCCAAAGAAGATTGAGGCAGTTCAGAACTTGCCTAGACCTACTTCGGCTACAGAGATTTGGAAGTTTCTTAGGTTTGGCGAGTTATTCTCGTCGGTTCGTGGAGGGGTTTTCATCTGTCTCAGCCCCATTGACCAGGTTGACTCAGAAGAGTGCTCTTTTCAGATGGTCCAATGAGTGTGAGCAGAGCTTTCAAAAGCTGAAGACTGCCTAGACTACAACCTCAGTGTTGGTGTTGCCCACAGGTTTGGGATCTTACAGTGTGTATTCTGATGTATCGTGTATTGGACTTGGTACAATATACATGCATGATGGTAGGGTGATTGCCTAAACGTCTCATCAATTTAATGTCCATGAGATTAATTACCGTGTGCATGATTTAGAGTTGTTAGCCATTGTTCATGCGCCCTACATTTGGAAGCACTATCTATATGGCGTTACCTGTGAGGTCTATAATGACCATCAGAGTCTCCAGCATCTATTCAAGTATAAGGACCTTAATTTAAGACAGCGTAGATGGTTAGAGTTACTGAAAGACTATGATATAACCATATTATATCATCCAGGGAATGCCAATGCGGTAGTTGATGCCTTGAACAGGAAGGCAGAGAGCATGGGTAGTTTAGCATTTTTGTTGGTAGTGGAGAGGTCACTAGCCATAGATGTTCAGCCTTTGTCCAACCGGTTCACGAGGATGGAAATTTTGGAGCCTAGCCAGATTCTTACTTGTGTTGTGGGACACTCATCGTTGTTGGAGCGCATCAAGGCTCGCCAGTTTGATGATGCTCACTGTAGACATGTAATTTTTGACCCTCCCCAAGATTTTACACATTTTAGCATTTAAATATTTAGTTTAGGTCTAATATCACTATTTTAACTAGTTTTGAAGCTGGTGCGAAAATCCTAGCGCCTTCAGCATTGGTTTGTGAAATGGCCAAGTCCAAAAATCACACAGCTCACAACCAGTCGTACAAGGCCTATAGGAATGGCATCAAGAAGCCAAGAAAGCACCGCCATTCATCTACCAAAGGAATGGATCCTAAGTTCTTGAGGAGCCAGAGGTATGCCAGGAAGCACAAAAACATTAAGAGTGGTGGATCTGCCGATGAAGAGTAAACAAATCCCTTAAAGTAACCATGGCTAGCAATGCTTTTTGAATTTGGGATTTTTTTATCTTGTTAAGTTTTTGTTTTTTGTTATGGAATTATAGTGGTTACTTACTAGAATGGAACCTAATTTAGTTTGTTATTCTGTTATCTAAACCAGTTATTAGTCTCTTTTAATTATAAAAAAAACTAGTTTTGACTTTATTTTATCACAAAATTGAAAAAATACAAAAATAGTTTCATTTTTCTCTATTAATTAAGGTATTAGGTATTTTAGAAAATATTATTTTTAACCCATTTTTGTTTTTAGTATAATCTTCGAAAATACCAATATATATAACTTCATGTCATAATGTAGTTTGTTTTAATTAATTAGGTATGATTTCACAATTTTATAGTTATTATTTTAGGAATTGATATTTTTAGTCTAGTGGAGTTAAAGGGCCACTTTTAAAGGTAAATTTTGCCCAATTCGGACCTAGCCAATTATTCCTAAGCCCATAATCCCCAAGCCCACCCTAATAACCATCTCTAACCTAGCAACACCCCACTTTCCTTAAAAAAGAAAAAAAATCAGCCAAAAGAGAGGACGGAAGAGCTAATTCTCATTAGGAGGAGAGATATAAAAGAAGCTAAGAACGGCTGGACAAAAAGAGGGGACCGAATTCCTACACCTGAAAAGAATGAGAGATGCCCCCCTCCCCCCTCCCTGACCCCCCCCCCCCCCCACCCAAAAGAGAAGGGACCTAATTCCTAAAAGTTTGGTAGCCATTTTCCCCTCCCCACGTTCTGACTTGAAAAGCAACAAGTAACACCTATTTTCTCAATTGAAAAGCAACACATATGCACATAGTCACATAGACGAGAGAATAGAGGCGTAGAAACGAAAATCCGAATAGTTGCAGCAGGTGAAAATTCGGCCTGCTTGAGGTTCGATTTTTCTCATTTTCGGTCGGTTTGAGGTTCTCGTTCACGGCTCCTGGTCAATGCAAGCTGTTTCCATAAAGTTCAAAGTTCAATTTGAGGTTTATTTCTTACTCTGCTTTCTAATTTTCCTTATGTGATGCTTTCTAATCATGGCTGCTTTTCTATATCTAATTTTTGGCTAGGATGCGTTTAAATTCTTCCATTTGTTAAACTCTCGTCTGATGCAACTTTTTCAATTAAGACCATCTTTTTAATTAAATTATTGAATTTATGGCCCATTATGTGAACGGGGCTTAATGAACAGGTTAGTTTTTCTTTTTTAAAAAAGGGCTAATTATTCCATAGTCTGTTTATATTTATTGGGTTGAAGTATGTCAATAATGTTAAATGGGCTCACATTATGTTGTAGTTAAATTCCTTGTCATCTTTTAGTGCCTTAGTCTATTTCTAATCTTCGTTTGGACAGTATAATTTCTCTTATTGATTTAGTTTGCTGAGCGACCATGGTATAACAATATGGTCCCGATTTGAATTGAAAAGTGATAGATTAAGAGATTTTGTAAGTTAGGTTCTGGATTTGTTGGCTTAAAATTAGATTTTTGGGGTTTGGTTAATAATGAGAAGGAATTCGAGCTTAAGAAAGATTCTGTTATTCTCGTGTTGCTTCTCTTTTAATTATTCGGGTCGTTAGGAGTATGCTTAGGCCGTTAATATCATAAACATCGTAGTTTGCTTTAGGCGCGACTAATAATAAATTATCGTGACTATGGGTACGATTCCAGTGACATGGTTAAGATACATAAATCCAAATTCGGGTGTACATTTCATGTAACCCGACCATAACTTCGAACAATAATAAAATACACGTGTTGCAGATTGTGGGTATGATTTTCGTGACACGATTCGCAACATGTACAAAAACAAACAGGTGTACGACAATCGTAACTTGTTCCAGAAATAACTCCATAAATAATTAAAAGCGGTTAAAAGCTAAAAATGCACAATAGGTAGAAAACATGTCATAAATCAGATAATTAGACCAATTATTAATAGTTGAGCGACTGTGCTAAATCACGAAATTCGGGAATGCCTAACACCTTCTTCCGGGTTAACAGAATTCCGTACCCGGATTTCTGTGTTTCGCGGACTGTAAAATAGAGTCAAACTTCCTCGATTCGGGATTTTAAACCGGTGACTTGGGACACCATAAATTATCTCAAGTAGCGACTCTGAATTTGAATATAAATAATCCCGTTTCGATTATTGTCACTTTAATTGGAAAAACTCCCTATCCACTCGGAAAAAGGAGGTGTGACAGCTCTGGCGACTTTGCTGGGGACAAGAACTCAGAACTTCTGGTTAGGGTTCAGAATTCGAGCTTAGAATAATTGTTATAGTTGGCTTTGATTATTATCTGATTTTTAGCCTAATGTGCTAAATGCCGCTTTTTACTGCTTTAATATTGTTTGAGCTGTATATAAATTATTACGAAACCCTTCTTCTCTCTGAGTCTTCTAAATCTTCTGGGAAGTGCACGCTGGCATGACTTCTTTTCTGTTAGTGTCATACCCTAATTTAGAACGAGGATCGGATCAGTTACAAAGCCGGATGGCCTTTTGGTTACCGGTATGTTGCCCCCCCTCGGCTCGAGTTGTCCGCTCGGGTATGCCAGGTCTAGAACAATACACCCAGGTTTTTAAACCAAGAATAACATAGCCTCATGCCGGATCCCTAGTAGGAACACTTGTTTGCATCACGTGCATTTGACTTTGGGGACTCAACACAATTGTTGGGTCTGTCTATGACAGATGTACCCGAAATTAAAAGACCATCTTGATGCATCTTACATGCTGCTTGCTTATCTATCTGTTCCGGCTTGCATGTTGACTGGCTTCTAGAATAGGGAAAGAAAAAAGAAAAAAAAGAAAATAAAAAAAAGAGTGAGAGGTATGTATTTGAAATATCCTGAAACTCTGCCGAAATTTTAAAAAAAAAAAGAGAAAAGAAAATAAGCCAATGTTTTTAAAAAAGTCATTGTTTGCTCTGTTTCGTCAAAACGGCCGAACTACGCGGGTCTGATTCTCACCGGATGTGAGATACGTAGGCAAACCTCATCAGTTCCGGCCACAATTTTAAAAAACTCCAAAAATATTTTCCTTTACTTCTCTATTTAGAAAGTCTTTCTTTTAGACCCCAATTTTTAAAAATTCGAAAATATTTTCTTTTAATTTCTTCTCAAAATCCAAAAACATTTTCGTTCTTCTTTTGAAAATTGAAAAGAAAATTGAAGATTCAAAAATATTTTCTTTTTCTTTAGAAGTCTTTCTTCTATAAATTCAAAATAAAAGTCCAAAAATCAAAAAAAAATTTCTTTTCTTCTTTAGAAATTTTTCTTTCGAAATTCCAAAAAAAAAATTCTGAAAAAAAACCAAAAAAAAAAGAAACCGAAATCCAAAAATATTTCAAAACAAAAATAGAAATCTAAAAATATTTTCTTTTTTCTTTATAATTATTTCTTTCGGAAATTTAAAAAAAAGAAAAAGAAATTCAAAATCCAAAAAGAGAGTTAGTTTATTCCTGATCTTCCCAAACTACGCAAAGATCTGATTCATGCGGCATCATGATACGTAGGCAACCTACATAGGGTTTGATTGATTATTTTTGAAATTAAAAAAAAAGGGAAAAAGAAAAAAAATGTGAAATTATGTGATATGAGAAATGAGAGGAAAGAAAAGAGTGATAATCAGAAAGAAAAAGAGAGGAAAGAAAATGTGCAAATCAAGGAGCTCAAGAGAGAAAATGAAGAAGATAGGGGCAAGAGAAGTAAAATTTGGATGATGCCAAGTTGACTTCGCACCCTCGAAGTCATTTTAGAACCGATAATTGTGAGTAGGTGCATTGCACATAATGTGAGATTATCTTATGTTAAATTCCCTAACTCTAACGTGATGACTTCATTTTGTTCCTCTTTGTTATCTTTATTGAGCAGAAGGGTGGTTGGTTTGTGGTTCTTAAACTGGTAACTCCTTCTTACAACATAAAGTCGAAAGGCAATGGCAGACGACAACGGAGTTGAGTTGGTTGATACTGGTACCCAAAAGCAATTGGTTGAACAGGACACTGGGTTGGTTGAAGAGGTAAGGATGTTAAGACGACACATGGCGGACATGTATCAAGCTTGGATGACTGGGAAGGCACCACACCCACCGCCACCTAGCTCCTTATATGCTACCCTTACCCGAGCCCCGATCATAGTGGCAGATGATCCACCATATTCTCTAGATTTTCCCGCTTATCATATCTTTCCTAACCTCCCTAGTAACTCCATTGGTCGTCCTCCAACTACATTTTCCAAAAATAGCCCTCCTCTCATATCCACTATCCCCACTATCACAACTTCTCAACGACCTTTCCTTCACAGGTCCAACAGTGAATACCAGTTCAAACCTCATGATGCCCAATACTACACCCCAGAGTTGGCCCACCAGGTCCCGGACTCATACAATCATAGCCCTCAGAATGAGCCTCATGTTGAAAATGAAAAGTTTACAAGGAGGGAAGAACGAGATTAACATGTCCTTAAAGAACATGCAAGGGATGGGAAATCGGATTAACATGTCTTACAATGACATGTGTATGTTCCTTGATATTCATCTGCCCATCTGAGGGGTTACTGCAGTGAAATGAGAAGTGTTGGCGGGAAAGATGAATTGTTGATCGCGTATTTCAGTGGAGCTTGAGTGGGGCAGCCTTGGAATGGTATACTCGTCAAGATGTCAATAAGTGGCATGCATGGGATGACATCGCTCAAGATTTTGTTCGACACTTTCAGTATAATCTAGACATTATCCCAGACCGCTCCTCTTTATCTAAGTTGGAAAAGAAACCCGAGGAAAGTTTTAGGGACTTTGGACTCAGATGGAGGGAACAAGCTGCTAGATTCAGTCCCCTGATTGGTGAAGAAGAAATGGTTGAGCTTTTCCTACAAGCCCAAGGGCCCACCTATTTCAGTCATTTGATCCCGGCTTTAGGTAACCTTTCAATGATGTGGTAAAAATGGGGGAGATGGTAGAAGAAGGAATCAAGTTAGGCAAAATCATGAGTTATTCTGCATTGAAAGATACTAAAGAAGACATTCTGAACATCTAAGTAAATTTGGGGGGAAGAAAGAGAAATAGAAAAGATGTTGTTGAACCTCGCCAACGACAAGATCCAGTGGGCGTTCCTGCTCAACGCTTTCAGCCTCAATAT